ATATATATATATATATATATATATATATATATATATATATATATATATATACACTCAAAAATTGGTGAGTTAAATTGCTCGGTTACCTTATGCCATCATCGCCCGTTGGATTTGATACTGACGGTCGAGCATGCCGCGGAAGAAACAGTGATACGCGGCAGGCTGCCGTCTTCATTCTCGAGGAATCGAAAGCTTTTCGAATCCTCGAATCTGCGGAATTCTTTTCGAAAGTCCGATCTTTTAATATGTCCATTACGTCAAAATCCGATTTTTATCGACCTCGTTATGGTTTGAGAGTCTCCGATCCCTTCTTCGTGGTGGTCTTCATCCATTGGCAGCATTAGTTCATCTCTGGGGCTTTTCCTTTGTATGGCCGATCCAGTTCCCACCTCTCATGGTTATCTAGGTTTTCTTTCTTTCTTTTTCTGTTTCTTGGTTTCCCATTTCTAGATTCCGTTTCTTCCATGTTTTCGTACTTCAAAATCGTTCCTTTCCTGCGGTTCATTAACTTGGATTTACATTCACTTGTATGCTTTTGTACTGGCAGGTTCTTCTGGCCCTGGAGAAGGATCAATCTTTTCTTGTTATTCAATCGGTTGGTAGGGTTGTCCAACACCAATCGCAGCTTCTAATACTCCTCTCTTTGTCTGCTTCACACATTTTGGTTCCTGTTTTCAGCAGCATTCCTGATTTCGGAAGAAATACACAGTATTAGCACCATATGTTGCAGTATCACCTTATTTGTGCCGGTTGAAAATGCTGCATGATAGATAGACACATCAGAGTGAGTAGCCATTGAAATCTTTGATCATAACAAAATAGAGACTAACAGTCATGTGTTTCTCTGTTTGATGATAAATCATCTATTTTATCAGCTGTTAAGATGGTTAAAATGTGTGTAAAAACAGACAAAAGAGTAGAAGGGAATAAAGAAGAAGAAACTAGAATAACAAGGAGATAAAGAGATGGAAAATTAGAGAACAAGCCATTTTGTTCTTGCAAAATATCTCATGCTAACCTTCTACTTGTATCTTGGAACGAGCATTCTCACTTTATGCTTTTCAGACTTTTTAGCAACAGTATGTGGCTGTTTTCCCATTATTTGACCACCTTTTATATAACTAGAAGTCTTAGCTTACAACACAATAAAGAACTCAAGGTGATATGTTAATGCCTAATTGGTTACGTTGAACAAATAATTAAAGGCACCAAAATTTGATATGTTAATGCCTAATTGGTTATGTTGAACAAATAATTAAAGGCACCAAAATTATCTTCCATAGCAGAGAATAATAGGATCCCAAAAATCAAGAAATTGACCCATTTACTATTTCAAAAAGGTGCTAAATCCATTACAACTCAAGCAAACTAATCTAATTCATCTAATTAAGTGAACCAAACCTGAATCTGACTAACTAAAAAGAAAAAACTATTTGGGACATTATTGTTTTGGTGCCTCTTTCTGGTGCAATCTGAACCACCAAATAAAGTCTATAATTTGAGTGAATTTTAAGTGTCATTTGTTGCATCAGTAGTACTTAGGGGAGTCATACATAATGTTGCAGGCTAATAAAGCTTGACCAGTGTTTGCTTTCCAATTTGCAATCTCTTGTATTTATCTCATTGGTCTAATCTAGTTTAGAATAGTAAATATGATAATCATAAAAAGAGATAAAACTGACTCCAAGTTAAGAACTGACCATCAACAAGGAAAATATGTACACAATACTTTGTCATGTATTTAGATAGACATGGTGTTGCAAATGTTTTGGAATTTGAGGTGGTTGATGGGATTGCTCTGACAAATGTTTATTTAATCGGACTCATGACAAAAAGGTTTTCTATTCTGTTACTTATATAAGACATTAAGACATGAATTATTATGACTATCATATTCCTCCAGAGACCTTTCATATAACAGTCTCTTAATACCTTCTTTGGAGGTCTCATCATTTACTTGATCATGTCACAGTTTTGTTGCTTTATTACAATTTACGGCATGGTCTTGAATTAACAACCATTTCAGGTGCAGGAAAAAACTGCATACATCTGATCCTTCTCAAACACTGGAGCCTCATGCATTAGGTGCAAAACCCAAACCCCTCCCCTCCCCTGCACCCACCTCCCCACATCCACCCCCACCACCACCCCCCCCCCCACGTTGACAATGGATGTAAAATTCCTTGCATCAAATGGTTAGGACCTAGACCTAGATCATCAAATGAACATCATGCTTGTTTGGTCCAGTCACTCCAGTGTCACTGTGTTCATGCTTTTAGAAGTCTTTTCAGCAAATTGACATACTAGTTACTGTTGCATTCCATCACATGCACAACTAGTGCATTCCAAAATGTTGATTAGTCACCCTTATCAATGTCTTTGTACTCCATTCAGTTCTCCTCACTTTCATACTCTTGACTTTTGGAATGTCTCTCCCACTCATCATCAAAGTCCACATCTTCCCAATCATTATTCTGCAGGTAAACGGAAAACAACAGTTATATGCAAGTAAAAGCAAGTATTTTAAGTTATTGTGTTATGGACTGCTTATGATTCATCTTTTCTGAACATGGCATTGACGCATTACCAGTCGAAGGCATTGCTAACTTATAGTAGAGCTTTAGAAATACTAGAAACTATTAATTTTGTCACTGCTAAAAGGAACTATATTCATGCAAAATACGTTGGCAGTTGAGATTAAAAGTGCTACCTTTTGTTTGATACCATGTCTTTGACACCACTCTGTTAACCTTGGACAATCTTCAATTTCAATATCGAGGGTGGAGTTTGGCAGCTGTTCATCAGGTAAGAAATGAAATTTAGGGCAGAATGCTATCACCATCAGCTCAAGGGAGGTGAGGTTGCAAAGACCCACAGCAGTTGTAAGCTCCTCACAACCTTCAATATGTAGTTCCTTCAGTGCTGATAGATTCTCATGCAGCCTAGGTAGAGCACTCAGTTTGTTACAGGATGAAATTTCCAAGTACTGAAGAGTGAATGGCAGCACATCATCAGAATTTAGGAAGAGCTCAGGACACATATCTAATGTCAAGCTCTCAAGGGAATTGAGGTTCTGTAGACACATCAATGTTGAAAGCTGTTCACAAGTTGTGATTGAAAGCTCCCGTAGAGCAGACAGAGGCTGGTACAGAGTAAGGGATGTCAAGTTTGGGCAGCTTGTAATGTCGAGGGACAGAAGGGTGGGTGGCAGACGATCATCTGGTGAGAACTGGAATTTAGGCAAGGCATGCAATCTCAAGTGCTCAAGAGAAGTGATTTTGTGCAGCTCGACAATTAAATTAAGATTCATGCAATCACTTATTTCCAAATTGTTTAGAGCATTGAGGCTTCCATGAAGGTGAAGGATGCTTAAGTCCTCAGACCATGAAATTTCTAAGGAATGAAGAGATTGGAGTTCTAAGGTGGATGCCCAGAGATTCTCATTCCATTTCCCTTGCAAATCCAGACTTTTGACTGAAGAGAGTTTGGGGAGTGCAGTTATTGCTTCAACATTCTCCATCTCTAATATTTCCAGTGAAGTTGGGAGGAGGGGTAGCCCATTTAGCTTCGAGCAATGTTTAATGACTAATCTTCGGAGGCAAGGAAAGTCACCATCCTCGACACCAGTCCACTCCCCCCACTGGTTCAAACATTCTAAGTCTAGTGTGTCCAGTGCTCGAAATGCTATAGAGGAACTCGTACTGCTGTGGCCGCAGAACTCACAGCCAACATGTTGGATCCCATCCATGTTACCTATCAAGAGATTTTGGAGGCATGGTAACTGACCAAGTGGTGGGAGGAGCTTGCAACTATGGCATTTTGTAAGTGCAATGGAGTTCAGTCTAGAGAATGAAGGATCTCCTAACCAGCTTGGGAATCTCATGCCACAATAACCTCGCAGGATGAGGTGCCTGAGGTTTCTGTATGGTTGGAGGTTTTGAAGAATACCATCTGCCAGAAAGCTGGAGGTCTCTGTGATGCTGCCTGTGTTGAGGGTAGATCCATCACTATGTTGCTCACCAGGACCCTGAGAACTACTTGCTTGGGTGCTTTTCTCAGAATTCCATATTAATGCCAATGTTTGTAAATGCTCTTTGGCCTTCAAATCTGCTATGCTGGCTTCCTTTCCACTGGCAACATTCTGAAGCCCTGCTATGCCAAGATGTCCTCTAAGATTTCTCAGCTGCTTCAATTCATCAATTCTACAGTGCCTGTTGACATTAAATGCTGAAAGGGTCTCAAGTCTAGTAAGAGTTCCGATCCCTGATGGTAGACTAACACAAGCTGCAAAGTCCTTTGTTGGAAGCTCCAAATGCCGCAGATTAATGAGCTTGACAACCCCATTGGGTAGTTCTTGGAGGCTCCTGCAGTACTTCAAATCCAGTGTCTGCAGGTAATATAGACTACCTAAAGAGTTAGGTAACCCTTTTATTGTACTTCCCCGGAGACCAAGATAGCATAGCAGTTTCAGCTGACCGATGGAACTTGGAAGCTGCTTGATTCTGGTATAGCTCAGATCAATCACCCGCAAACATGGTAACATCCGGAACAGATCACTACACAACCTCACATTCTGGCAGACATCACCGATACCTCCTCCGTTCAAAGTTTTTACCTTTGTATTTACGTAGAGCAGTGATCTAATCCTTCTGTTCTCCTCCTTCAGAGGTTCAAATTGGATGTCAGCTTTGGCTTCATATGGAATCAGAGATAGATGGCTGGCTTCATTGGTGATGTAGCTCACCTTCTCATCCTTATTAACACTGCATTCTTCGCCTGCAATTGATCGTGCTAGATCGCAGATGAGGTCATGCATCAGAAACAATTGCTGGTCCTCATGTTGTGAGATGATAAAGGATGTTTTCTTCTGCAGGTTTTCGCTACCTGTCAGTGACAACTGGAGGGATGAACGAATCAAAGGTAATTCCTCATCAATTGGAGACAATTGAAAGAACGACCGTCTGTGTAAGTCATCAAAATACTTCTTTCCTATGTCTTCAGCTCGTCTTGTTTCCACGAATGGGATAAGGCCTTGAGCCATCCACAATTTGATCAATTCATCCTTCTCGAACAAATAATTTTTTGGAAACAAGGCGCAGTACATGAAGCATGGTTTTAGATGTGTAGGCATGCGATGGTAGCTTACTCTCAGTGCAGGCAGAATACCATCATCTTCCTCGTCTAGTTCCCATAAATCACTTTGCAAGATGTCTTCCCACTTATCTTTGTCTTCTTCATAGTAAAGAAGCCCTCCAAGGTTCTTTATAGCCAATGGCAAGCCTTTGCACTTTTGAACTATCTTCATGCCAATTTCTTCCAGGTTGCGGCTGCTGTCAGGGTCTCGGTTCTCAAGTGCATACTGCTTGAACAACGACCAAGCTTGATCTTCAGTCAGGCCAGCAAGCTGATATGGAATCACTGTTTGCATAATCCTTGCCACTGACTCGTTACGAGTGGTGACAAGGAATTTGCACCGTCCTCCACTGATGAAAGCCACTCTTAAGCTATCCCAAAGGTTTATGTCTTCAGTCCAAACATCATCCAGAACAAGCAGTAGTCTCTTTCCCACCAATTCTTCCTTGAGAACAGATTGTAGTGAGCTTAGTTCTGTGAGGTCACATTTTTCCTGAGTAATGCTTTCTATGATAGCTTTGTATATTTTGATCACATCAAAATCTACTGAGACACTGACCCATACTCTTGTGTTGAAGCATTGGCGTACTGTTGGATCTTTGTAAACGAGTTGAGCCAGGGTGGTCTTTCCAATCCCAGCCATGCCGATGATGGGTATGACGGATAATTTGTCTGCACTGCCTTTCTCTGATACCAGCATTTCTACAATTTTTTTCTTATCTTCTTCTCTTCCATAAACACAAGATTCATCTACATATGGGGTGCTTTGCGGAGGCTGAACTGGTACACTAGATCTGCTCACTCCAATGTTATCTTTAAGACTCAGGGCTTTCCGTTCTTCTGCGAGCTCATCAAATCTTATGCTAATATCCTTGATCCTACTTTGTATGCCACCTGGAATTGCAATTTGGGTTGGAAGAACAGTAGTAGCAACCAATTTTCTTGCCTCCAACTTTCTTTTCCTGGTTGCAGGTCGTGGTAGATCTCCACCCTCAGCTTTGATTCGCAGAAACTCATACCCATACTCAGCTAAAACATCCTCAGCAAGGTAAGCCAAGTCTTTTAGCTCTTTCAGCCAGAGTTTCACTGCTTCATCTCTTATCTCCCTCTCCTCTGCATCGCTGAGAACTGCTTGAATCCTTGACAGTGTTCCCTCCATCTTGGACAGATCCTCGTGAACACTGCCTTGCTGGGATGAGAGTGCCGAGCCAAGTGATGCAGGTATGTTGCCGATCATCCATTTGATGATGGAGGATAAAATTGCACCCGCCATTGCAATCTCTCCCCTTCTTTTCAAGTCAAGCAGCTCCAAGGAGATTTTGGAACAGCAAGCAGAGATGAGAAATCAAATGAAGAAATAGGTTAGTCTCATAGACTTGGCCAAAGCTCTAGCTGAATACATTTGAATCATTCATGAATGAGTTGACATAGTCTAACACACTAGTTGATTGCAAGTATTTGTTAGGTTGGCTGGTTCCTTCGATTGAATATATGGTTTCAGTTGTCAGCATAACCTGCAGAAGAATATATTCTATTTGTTTAGGCAAAGGTGCAGCTCAGATTTGCATATATGCCATCACAGTTAAATCAAGTTGAAGCTCTAATTGACATTAACATCTTTTAGAACACATTATAGTGGTAAGAGTGTTTGTATATTGAAAATTTAACATTTTATATCCTTTTAGTTCAAACCAGTCAAATTAGTTAAATCAAGTTGAAGCTCTAATTGACATTAATATCCTTTTTAACACATTATAGTGGTAAGAGTGCTTGAGATATTGAAATTTTCACATTTTATTATCTTTTCAGTTCAATCAATCAAATTATAACTGGGTTAGAAGTGGCCAACTTGAATTTAGAGGATTTGCAATGATAGATATGTAAAAAAGGTTCACTTCTATTATTGACAATGGATGCCATGTACTTTAGCACAAAGTCAATGTCTTTGTCTGCCAAAGTTGTCTTGCATTATTGGTGCATCTTTTGCTAAGAATCTTGAAATATGTGTGCCAGTTGTCTGCTACTACACATTTGGGATGCTTTTCTGGAACCAACTTGTCGGATCATTGACGATCAGTACCAGAAGGTTCAGCTCTTCAAGACTAGCAGAGACTTTGAAGCAGGCGAAGGATCCACATATCTCAGCGGAAACAGCAGAAGATCAATGGCAATGTTTCGTCTTTCTTCCATCATATCAGGACTAGACAAGTTAGCATCATACATCACAAGTTCGTCTTCATCTTCATGTGATCCATGTGGCACGGATGAATTGGTGGAGTTGAAGGATTCAGTGGTGAGGACCCGAAATTATGTCATGGATTCAAGGGGAGTTATTGGAGATGCATCTGTGAAGCTCTGGCTGATGGAGCTCAACAACTTGGTTCATCTTATAGATCATATCGAGCACCAGAGATCCAGCGAAGAGCAACAACCTCAGTTGGTTACTTGCAGAAAGAGAGCGAAGCTAGAGAAGAAAGAACCAGCTCCAGATGTGATCAACTGCAAAGTACAGGAGATCAGGAAGAGATTCCATGAGATGTCAGCTGACTGGGCTGCTATCCATTTAACAGAGAGTGATGTAGGGATGCAGTTTCAGCAACAAAGATCATCACCTTCTGGCTTCCAAATAGATGAATCATGCATTTTTGGCAGGGATCATGACAAAAACAAGGTGATCGAGCTATTGTTTTCAGATGACAGCAAGAGAGGCAATGTTTCTATCATTTCCATTGTTGGCGTGGCAGGTATTGGGAAGACTACACTTGCTCAGCTTGCTTACAGTGATCCAAAGATATGTGCACATTTCACAGCTAGGGGATGGGTGTGTGTCACTGGAGACATCGATGCTGTGAGACTGCTGCAAGCAATCATACAGTCAGTCACAGGAAAGGCTTGCCAAGACAAGGATTTGGTAACGCTCGAAAGAACACTAGAAAGAGTGTTGAAGGGAACAAAATTCTTGCTTGTTTTAGATGATGTCAAGGAGGACGACAGCCTCTGGGACTGCTTGCGGTCGCCATTACTTGGTGCAGAAACGAGCAAGATTGTTGTCACCAGTCGCAATGAGCTAGTTTCTAACAGCATCCAAGAACTCGTACTTCCTCATCACCTGAGCAGCTTATCTGAAGCTAACTGCTGGTCTCTTTTCCGTAGGTTTGCATTTGACGGTGAAGATCCAAATGAGCATCCAAACCTGGTGGAGATCGGCAGGAAGATTGCTGCAATGTGTAGAGGGTGGCCGCTGGCCGCAAAGACGCTCGGTGTTCTTCTCCGGTTCGAAACCGACGAGGATAGGTGGTTGGATATCCTGCAAGGTGAGGTGTTGGGGCTGGTTGGTGGTCTCAACTTCACTCTGCAACCTTCAGATGGTGCTTGGTAGTCTCAACTCTCGACTCTGCAACCTTCGGATGGTGCCATGGAGCATAGATGATGTTGATGAACACCATTGTGATATGCGTCTGCTGATTTCTCCAAACAAAGAACTGAAAGAATAATGTATGAAGACTCTGTATAAATTTCAAGTATGCAAGTTTATTTTGGATCCACAGGCTCATTGTTTCGGGTACCCGATTCAAACCCGATCCGATAACCTCTTAAAATGGCTTCCTCATTAATTTTGTCCTTTTTCTTTCTCTGTGATTAGTTTATATGGGCCCCACCTCTGCTTCCACGCGATCCTGACCCTCGATCCTGAAATCGAGATGATGTACGGTCAGGATCATCGCGGACCATCGCCAGTGGTCGGCTCTCCTCCCCCATCCTGCTGCCAACAAATTATTAATAGGGTGGTATATAGCCACTCGCGAGACGTCACGTCCCTTTTCTTTCTCCTTCTCTCTCTCTTCCTCCCCCCCCCCCTCCCCTACTCCGCCAAGTGAAGAGGGAAAAGGAAAGAACGAGAAACGGAGAGGAGGAGCGAACGAACAGAGGGCGACTTCTTCCCTCCTTCCTTGTTTCACGTCCGCTTCCCTCACGCGATCCAGATTCAGATCGAGATTTAGATCGGAACGGTCGGTTCACTTGCTCCTGCTCTCGATCCATCGGCCTCGGATCGAATACGTCGCTACTGGAGGCGCGCATCTACGATTTGCCCGAGCTAGGTTTTGATCTGTCTTGGTCGGATCCGGTGAGTTGGATCTACCGTGTTCTACGATCTGTTTGTCCTGTCGTTTCCGAGCATGTGATCATCGTTAGTTTGATCCGTTTTTTAATCTATTGAATTGGTGGCCATCTTTATATCCTCCGCATTTTCCAGTCGAATGCGTCGGTGTTGGAGGCGCGGATCCAGTATTTTTCCGATCTAGGGTTTGATCTTTGTTGGCCGGACCTGGTGAGCTGGATCTACTGTATTGCCTGTCCTGTTTTCTCTATCGAGCCGCAGCATGTGATCGCCTTCATTTTGATCTGTTACTGAATCTGTCCCATCTTTACCACGTTTAGATCTTTTTTTATTTCCGACTAGAATGCATCGGTGCGTGAGGCGCGGAGCCACGATTTACCCGATCTAGGGTTAGATCTTTCTTGGCCGGATCACGTCAGTTGGATTTATTTTGTTCTCCGATCTTTTTGTTATATCAATCCTACCATGAAATCATCATCAGCTCGATCTGTTATTCCATTCGTTGCATCTGTACCATGTCTAGATCCTGTTCATTTTCCGTACTGTCTCCCGTCGGCGTTAATCGAGGATCTCAAGGTACCCAGGGCTAGTATAGGTGGAGGAGAAAGAGAGGGGAAGGGGATCAAGATATGATTCTAAGGTCTTTCTACTCGAACTACCCAGATCATGTAGCCTGACGAATCTTTGGTAGTTGGAATGTCATGATCCCGGTATTTGATCTTATATTTTTCATGTTATGAGTGTGTTCATAAGAGTCAATTCATGTTGTTTTGGTTGCATTTCCTTCTGACAATGCTTCAGATTATTGACCTTAATGATGATAATGCCCTACGCAAGGTTCTCAATTTCGGTTCGTACTGGTTTACCGAGCCTTGCTCGGTACGATATGTACCGAGGTGTACCGATGGTATGTTGGGGGTGTGCCGACAGTACACCCAAAAAGAGTTGAAAAACTTTCAAAAATACCTAGAGGTAACGGTCCAAAAATATCGGGACGTATCGATCGATACACCTCGGTAATGGATGAAATCTAAGGTGAATCGATCGGTATGCCTCAGTAACGATCAGATTTTGATCGTTACTAATTGGTATAGGTCCTGTATTGCTCGATATGGGGGTCAAAACATTAGTACCGACTGGTAAAGGACGGTCCGCGTATCGGTATCCTTTTTGACTGGTACGCACCATCCGTACTGGGCAGTACACAGTGAAATTGAGAACCCTAGCCCTAAGAGTTTTGAAAAGGTTTTAAAGGCTTGCTTGAGTTTTGACTTTAAGTTTCTGTATAATTGGAAGATGAAGACTAAATTGCCGTTGAGGAATGTAGACTAAAATCCATCCTGTTGAATAGTGTTTTACGATGTTAATTTCCATTACCAAAGTGAAACTATTTCATCTATACGCAAAATCTAATTTCTGTAGTCTGCTGCATCTGGTCAGCGACAATGATCATGCATATTCAAGAAATCATGACTTGTGGGGAATAAAAAAGTCAATACAGTTAATGAATCGAATCTATAAATGGAAATTTTAGTGATTCAAGCTTTTGACAAACATTATGCTACCTTGGTTGGATGATGCTATTTACTGAATTCACTGTCACAAATTTTCTTTCTTATACATTAACATGTATAATGCCTGCACTACCTTTTGAAATGTTGATATAGTTTATGAATAGTAACTTATATTGTTTGAATTTATGGTTTCTGATGTAGAAGCATTCGTGTAGCAATGCAAACTGTAATCTGGAGATTTAGAGACTGAGTGCGATAAGAAGTTCACACAAGCAGAAAATATGGCACCTACAAGTAAGGCCGATAGGAAAGCAGCATTAGATGTAACCGCTTGGATGTTCAATGTTGTGACATCTGTTGGAATTATCATGGTCAATAAGGCCTTAATGGCTATGCATCGCTTCAGTTTTGGTAAGCCCATAAGACTCTTCTTTTTATGATTTTTGTATAATACTTGGGCCACCATATTTAATGGCAGTTCTGCAGCTTCCAAGACAGCGATCAATAAAAAGAAGGATGACTTATTTTCATATTTAGTTGAGTTTCCTTGTTGGAAAATTATGCCAGATTTTATATATCTTGTTTTTGAAAATCTTGTTATTGCTAAACTTGAAAATTAGAAGATTATTAGTTTGGATTTATATAAATGCAATTTATATTTTTTTTAGTGTATAGATAAGTCAGATAGTTCAAATTTTTAGATTTGAAATTCCTACTCAAGACTAAAAGTATGTGAATATTTAATTAATTTTGTTTAAAATATTAGACAATGTTAACAAAACATCACCTAAGGCTCATCTGTAGCTTATATGTTCAATAAAGCATGCTATAGATGCCTCTCGTAAGGTTCCAAAAGGCTCTAAAAGGTTCCAAGATATTGAGGTATATTTATTTATAAATGTAATATAATATCGACTCATCAATATAAGAGGAAAATATGAAAACATGACAAGTTTGTCCTTCATTAAGAAAAAAATTTTAACAGTCAGATTTTGACATAACAGTTTTCATTCCTAAGTGTTTCTTGATTGTTTATTCATTTACTTGATTTTTCTTTACTTTCCTCTATTACTGTTGTTTCTTGTGTCTGTTGCTTTCTTTCTTTCTTTTGTTCAACTTTTTCTACTGCATTTTACAATGGGTTCACTGATCTGTTTTTTGAGATAATAAGTCATTTTCAGGATATATTAGTATGCCAATCACAACCATTTTATATTATTTAATATTAAAATTACTTATAGAAATGTTGAGTTATATGGCTTACCTTTGTGCCTCACACCTCAGCTCCAAGACTAGGCTCCTGGTGACACTAATCTAGCTTTCAAAATTAACTTTATAGTATAGTTTGACATGGCATGTTACATGCAAGCTTCAAAGTAAAGACCATGTAATCTTGGTGTCTGGTGTCCTGGGTTCTTCTGGTAAATTGGAAAAATTAGGAAAAAACCAAAAAAATACTTAAAAATTTAAAGTAAATGTTATATCTACATAAGCTGCTGTTGTTGGCAAAACACAAAAAATTGTTACCGAACCTGTCATTGGTGTTTGAATGATTATTGGAATTGTTTAGACTAGTTCATAAAATAATTAGAGAGGGGCTGGGGATGTTGGAGAAGGGGCAAAAATTAAAGTAAATTCTAACTACATAGGTTGCTGATGTTTGAAAAAGAATGTTATTGAACCTGTCATTTGTTTTTGAATGATTATTGGAACAGTCCAATTCACAGAATAATTAGACAGAGGCTTATGAACTGGTGTGATTTTGATCCACTAACCCATCCTATTTATTTCATTCTAGCAAGGACTCGTTTAAACACCAAAACTGATAATAGAGATTGATAGGTTTCAGGCCTGGTTAATTAGTTTAGAGTCATTTAGACATGTGCTACTTATTTAGGATCAGAATTTCTTGTTAATATATAAACCACTTTGTTTGATGCATAAGTCTAAAACTTTGACCCGACATGGTGAGCTGGGAAACCATATAATAGACAGGTGATTACTAGTTTTAAGTCAAGGGTACAAGTTCTGCCCTGGTTGAAAGGCAAAATGACAATATCCTACAAAATATAACCCGAAAATACTATCAAACTTATTATGACACAGCATGGACAACCATAATCCTACTATGCAAATACTAAGGTTCGTCGTATCACGGTATACCGTCCAATATGGCGGTACATACTGATTTGTTAGTATGTCCCACTATATCATGTGTTGATACGTTGGTATGATTAAGTATGTATCGTACCGACGGCTGATTAGTATGCCGGTATGACTTAGTAAGGCAAACCATGACAAATACTACTAGAATGCAGGGATTTAAATCAATCTAAATTAGAGAAATTTCAAATAGCAACTTAAATAGTCAACAGACTTGGGAATGCCTAAGATTTTAGCATAAAAGGACATCCACAATGAAATTAAAATATATGATAACAATAATAATCAGATATTTCTACAAGCAAATTGTAATATATATATATATATATATATATATATATATATATATATATATATATATATGTATGTATGTATGTATGGATTATGGATTATGTCTACTGTAATAGTCTCAAAACAAGGTTAAAAGATTCAGTTGTAAAGCGACAGGAGCAAATAAATGTTAAGTTCCTAAGTCTAAAACTTTTGACCAATGACTTTTTCCACAATAAAGATGTTAGATCTCATCGTCTAGGGTAGTAAGACTAGGTCTCTGCAATGACTTTCACCACAAAGCAACATCCTTTACCCAATACGATATCCAAAGAAAGAGCAAGCGGCTTCAGTGGTAAATGATAGAACATGGAGTGAAAAAGAGGGGTAGAAGACAAAAAAAGGGGGTTAGATGCAGGAACAACTCAAGCCATTAAAAAGAGGGTTAATACAAGATTTTCTTTTCTTTTTTCAAAAAGGGCTCAAAGTTGAACCTTCCCCCCCCTCAGATCTAGTTGCCATTCACTTTGTAGATGTTGGCCAGGAAACCAATAACAGCCAAATCTGATCGAGCATGTTAGCAATCAAATACAATTGATGTCAGGTAACATCGACAAAAGGACCTCACTTCTATTTTCGCTTTTAAATAAGAATAAAATATTAAGTGTTATGGTACGTTGACCCCACATCTAGGTGATCAAAGACTATGCCCGCATTCCACTATGTCTCAGATGATGAGCATGTAAACTTTTATAAATTACACCAACAACCAAGGTTCTAAATACCCGTTTTAAAGGTAGGTAGCCTCCATTATTTATTCGTCTGACCAAATACTAATACCAAAACACACAGCTGAGACCAATACATATACATTTCAGTTTTTTATTATTTTGATCAATGATACCAGGACCTTTAACCATTATACATTGAAAATTATGATGAGTTTGGCCATCATAATTCTTATAATTTATTGTTGCTTTGTGGATCCAAGATACTTCATCAGGTAATTAAAAATGTTTCAGTAAACCAATTCTATTTAATGCATACGAATCTAAGTTTTGATTTGTTCTTTGTACTCGACTTTGCAAATCAGATCCTTAGCACAAATGCAAGGAAAAATTTCAGAGTTTCAAGCTCCCTAGGCTGTTAATTGTTTCTAATTGATATTAATTTTGATTTCCATAAATTTTGTCTTTTTTCTTGTTAGCTGGTACTTATGTGACAGATTCTGTTTTATACTGCAGCTACAACATTAACGGGTCTGCATTTTGCCATGACCACAATCATGACTTTACTTTTTAAGTGGCTGGGATACATTCAGCCCTCTCATTTACCTGTGTCTAACCTTATAAAGTTTGTGCTTTTTGCAAACTTATCGATTGTTGGGATGAACGTTAGTTTGATGTGGAACTCCGTTGGATTTTATCAGGTTTGTTCTGGTCAAAGACTATGAGTTTTATCACCTTGAATACAGCAAATAATTTCATGAGACTTGCTTTTGTAATTTGTTGACAGATTGCTAAGCTGTGCATGATTCCAGTATCATGTCTTCTCGAAGTTGTGTTTGATAAAATTCATTACTCAAGGGCCACAAAGCTCAGCATAGTGGTGGTTCTCGTAGGTGTTGCTATCTGTACAGTTACTGATGTGAGCGTGAATGCTAAAGGGCTGATGGCTGCTATTATAGCAGTGTGGAGCACTTCTTTACAACAATATGTGAGTAAGCAGATACACATCTGAATCTTGTCGTTCTTTGGACATGATCAATAAGTAGAACTTCTAATGCTATCTCTTTTATGTGTTTACTCACATAGCTTTCTATAGACTACCTGATTTTTAAATTTGCTTATTGTACATTTGAGTCGATGATGTTTGTTGAACTTGAGTTTTATATGTAAGATTGTTGCCTATACATGTTGCGTTGGATCTAAAAAAACTCACTTGCATGTCACTAGTCCGACACAGCAATTAGTTAGGATAATGGTTTCTGTGATATTTCCTTGAAGCAACTTTATCGGTTTAGTATGTTTGAGATCCATTGTGTGTGACCATTATATGGCACATACTGTGCGCTTATTGTCTAATAGATGTGTTTGTTTGATCATAAGAAGTTTTACGTGAAACCATTTTAGACGACAATTCTTTTACCTAGGAGCAAATAAGTCATTCTGATGTTTGTTTTACTCATTAGGAATGGAAAATTAGTTTGTCATACTTTTTTGTTTACATCAAATTACATATTCTCTCTTGATTAGAGGGAGGGATGTGTCATCCACAAGTAAAAGTTGAGGAACCAGTTTCAGAGGATAATAATTCTCCAGTTGTCTCTAAATGCTGTTATGAGTTACACACCTTTAGTGATATTTTCCTAAACATTTCAGACTATGTCAAGGCAATGGTGCGACCTTCTATTCATCTCTAGCTTGTGTCTCGAGAATAATGAGTAACTATTTCATTAAAGTTTTAATCATTTTTTTTATTGATTTGACTTTTGCAGTATGTGCATTTTCTTCAAAAGAAATATTCGCTAGGATCGTTCAACCTCCTCGGGCATACTGCTCCTGCTCAGGCAGCATCACTGTTGATATTAGGGCCTTTTGTTGATTACTGGTTGACGAACAAAAGGGTGGACAGATTTGATTACAATGCAACGGTCGTGGTAAGCACATGATGGATTTATTTATTATTTTCTTCTTCTAGATCCTTGTGTTTATTGTTCTCTCTTATGTTTTGATTTTGGTTGGCCTGCATTATATGGTAATATTTTATTTTATTTTATAGATTCGTTGCCAAATACTTGATTCATGTTGTTTACTCCTCCTATGTGTTGTATGTGGCAGTTGTTCATCATCCTCTCGTGCACCATTGCTGTAGGAACCAATCTTAGCCAGTTCATCTGTATAGGAAGATTCACGGCAGTGTCCTTTCAAGTAATCGGGCACATGAAGACAATCCTTGTCTTGATCTTGGGATTCTTCTTGTTCGGCAGGGAAGGCCTAAATTCACACGTAATCTTTGGAATGATCTTAGCGGTTTTAGGTATGATGTGGTACGGAAGCGCAACGTCAAAACCAGGGGGTAAAGAGAGGCGCAGTTTCTCGTTGCCCAGTGACAAATCTCAGAAGCATGGACTGCGTGCAGAGTCGGGAGAGCACGATGATAAAGTTTGAGCTGCTCCCGCCCTTGAGTTGACACTTCCTTTTTCACTGTTTGACGTGTTGGACGGAAAGCTAATAGCAGAGCATTCTTGGGCATTCGTCTTGCAGTAAAATGGGGAATTTCTGTGCCTTGTCTCCACCAATCCAGGATTCCTCGGGGCAATGCTGGGTGAGGCACCATAGCTTTTTCACATCAAACTTTTTATTTTTCCTTTATTATTATTCTATGTCAATTTGACTTCTGGTCTTATGAAAAGAATATATGTATATATACCCTATTTAGTAGCCATATGCATGCCTTTGTTAGATTTGTTTGTTTCCGGAATTTGATAATTTGCAACTCTGATTTACCTCCAATTTATTAATGGAATTTATTGCACACTTTATAGGTAATATGATATGCTTCCCTGTACAGCAAAAAAACAATATTTCAAGCGAGCTTTACCAAGTATGGATGGTGCATGGCTCGACCGTTGAACGCCTACAAAATCAAACCAAAGAAATAAATTTAGGGGAGATTGAGATGGGAGGATGGAGGGAATCAAATTAAAGATGACAGAAAGAAGAGAGTGAAGATGAAGATGAAGATTGAAGAAAACTAAAAGATTAAAAATACAAGGCAAACAAGAAACTGAGGGAGGGAATTGTAGGGTAGAACGGTAAAATGTGACTCATGTTAGAAACTCAAAAATTTTAGTACAAAACAAATTATAAGATGATTGTTGCTAGCATCATTTGACTGACTCAACCGATTATTTACGTCAGATCCGAGGGTTCCATATGAAAACAAAAAATTTTGAGGGGTTGATATGCAAAATAAAAGCAACTCTAGCAAAGCTTCTTCTCATTGTCCTTCGATTGCTTAAAGAGAGAGAGAGAGAGAGAGAGACGAGAGAGATGCCTCGTGAACCGAATGTAGCAGTTGACTTGAGGAGGAGGAAGCTTGGGCAACAAGTGGTCTCCCGTTGACTTGAGTAGGAGGAAGCTTGGGCAACAAGTGGTCTCCCGTTGACCAAACCCAGGTCCTCCTCGTGACAGCAAGCTTGCGCAGTGGGTAATTTGACTGAACCCCAACGTCGTTGTAGGCAAGAGAAACCTTGAAGGTCAAGCAATCCCAATAGTCGCTACTGCGGCTACCTACATTTGGGGCATGGGTCTTGGGAGAGTCACAACGAAAACGGAAAAGGGAAGAAACCACACCCATCCGTCCATCTTCGGCTATGGCCGCTGCTGTCCTATCCTCAGCGCTCAGCCTGATCCAAGACCTGGTAACTCGCCCACGGTCTCAATCCCCATCCAAAGATGCAGTAGCCATTCACCATGATCTCGACAAGCTCAACGGAAGCATGCTTCAGATCCAACACCTGGCCGCGGACATGGCGAAGGAGGAGGAGGAGAACGGCAAGGACGAGACCGTGCGGCATTGGCTCAGGCAGCTTAGAGGAGCGGCTTATGATGCCGAGGACTTGATCGACGAGTGCCGATTCCAGCTGCTGGCTCGATCCAACACCGACAGCGGAGCTCAGATGCCGCCGGAGGAGGTACATGACCCAACCCACCCTCCATCTCAACATGGCATTGCAGTCAGGATTAGGAGCTTGAGAGAGCGGCTCGATGAGATTGCGAAACAACGTGAAACCCTCCACTGGGAGTCATGCCGGGAGCTCGATGCAGAAGCCGAGCTCCCACCGCCGTTGTTGTTCAACGTAGATGACTGTCGTCTGCGGTAGAGACGACGACAAGCGTGAAGTGATCGAGCTGTTGTTGGCCAACCATAGAAGAGACCTCTCTGTCATCCCCATAGTAGGCCCTGGGGGCGTCGGCAAGACCGCTCTCGCCCGTCTCGTCTACGACGACGCCACCATTAGAGACCACTTCGATGCCCGAGGTTGGGTATATCTGTCAGAAGATTTCGATCTTATCAGACTAATATCAGCAATTGTTGTCTCAGTAACAAACATGAAACATATTGATGTTGAACAAGATCACGGGAAACCCTTGAAGTGCCAGATATTGAGAGGGAAGAGATTCCTGTTAGTGCTAGATAATGTTCAGAATGAGAACCAAACCCTTTGGAATTCCTTGAGAGCCCTATTAAGTGTAGGTCTTGAAGGCAGTGCAATTGTAGCGACGACTCGTTGTGAATCAGTTGCCAAGTTCATGCAGACGGTGCTGTCCTACAACCTCATCCCATTACCTGAAGAGGAGTGTCAATCGTTGTTTGAACATCATGCGTTTGGAAGCCAAAATCTTACTGATAACCTAAATTTAGTTGCTATTGGGAAGAGGCTCACAAAAAGACTCAAAGGCATGCCATTGGCCGCTAAGATGATCGGTAAACTTCTATGCACTGAGAAAAATGAGGAGAAATGGCATGCCATCTTGCAGAGTGGTGTTTGGGAATCCACTGGTTTGGATGGTGTGGTTTCATCAGCTCTTAGACTAAGCTACTATGGTTTGCCTACATGTTTGAGGGTATGTTTCACGTACACCGCATTGTTTCCCAAAGGATACCTGTTCAAGAAGGATCGACTGGTTCAGCTGTGGATGGCCCAGGGTTTTATCCAACCTATGGGACGAAAACTCCCAGAAGACATTGGTGTGGAGTATTTCGATGAGTTGTTGAGACGGTCATTCTTTCAGCAAATAGGGGCTAATGAACATGTGTTTACTGTGCATGACCTAATTCATGATCTTGTGCAAACTATTGCAAGCAAGGAAATATTTAGGATAAAGAACGAGAATTTTAGCTTTGTTACCTCAGAAGCAAGACATTTATCGTTGTGTCCTGAAGAACTTGGGCCATTCATTCGCTCCTGCAACAGACCCAGGGTTTTACGAACCTTTCTAATTGTGCATAGAGTATTAGATACTTGTGATGTTGACTATGTGTGGAGCAAAGCTTGCTCACCTTTGAGTATGCCGAATGACCTTTTTGTTGGCTTGAAGTTCTTGCGCACTCTGGATCTGAGTGAAACCCCTATTGTAAGTTTGCCAGAATCAATTGACAGCGTTATACATTTGCGCTACCTTGGTCTCAGACATACAAAAATTAGAAGATTACCTGAATCTTTGTGTGGCCTTTACAATCTGCAGACGTTGGACCTGAGAGATAGTGAGAAACTAGAAGAACTGCCCAAGAGCATAACAAATGTCACCAACCTGCGTCATCTTTATCTGCCAAGATATGTTTCAATTATTCCAATGCCACAGGGAATTGGAAAGTTGACTAATCTTCAGACACTATCAACATTTTATGTTGACCATGGAGAGCAAAACTGTGCAATAATGGAGCTGAAGGACTTGGTAAATCTCAGAGGAAAATTCGAGATTGCTGGACTGCACAACGTGGCAAGTGTAGACTATGTCGAGGATGCTTTAAAGGATCTAAGACACATTGCAAAACTGATTCTGTCCTCTGGCATCAATTATGACTATGGGAACCTTGGTGAATCTGATTTCAGCCTGTTTGACGGAGTTGTTGAGGATAACCAATCATTAGGCAACGTGCATGATGAGCTTCAGACTTCCACAGAAAATGTTGTACAAGTCTCAGCACCTAAAGAAATATGTAATGGTTTGGAGACGACTGTTTTTGACAGACTTCGTCCTCATACAAATCTGATGGAGCTGGTTGTGCGTTCTTACCACAGTTTGCAATTTCCCAACTGGATGGGCGATGCTTCCTTTTCCAATTTAGCCTCTGTTGAACTTGAATTTTGCAGCAAATGTGAAGTCCTCCCACCACTAGGCCAGCTGCCACTGCTCAGGCACCTTGCTTTTAATGAGTTATCAGGCTTAGAGAACATAGGTCAGGAGTTTTGTGGCCATGATGCTATGATCAGGATTAAGGGGTTTCCCTCTCTGGAGACGCTTCAATTCAGAAGTATGTACAGGTGGCAGGAATGGTCTTATGTAGAGGATGGTTCATTCCCTCGCCTTCGTCATCTTGAGTTGAATTATTGTCCTAAGTTAAGGAGATTGCCACACATCCTCCCTTCATTAGTGAATTTGGTAATTTGGCACTGCCCAGAGCTGATGGCCCTCCCAATGCTACCATCACTTACAAGGTTGGAAGGCTGTTGTAATGAGATGATATGGTCCTCCATGCCCCAAGATCTGATCTCCAGGCTTCAGGACCTGAGTATTTGTGAATTTGAGGATCTAGCATCCTTGCCGCTAGAAAATCTTTATGCAATCAGAGAGTTTAAAATTTCAAGCTGCCAGCAAAACACAAGCCATGTTGCATTCTTGGAGTTACATTTGCTTAATCTTGTCTTTCTCAAATGCTTCAAAATCAGAAGATGTCCTGGCATCTGGTTCTCACCAAATCATAAGCTGCCGCCTGCACTTCAGGTTCTGGAGATATTGAATTGTCCCTTGCTGGAAGAATGGTGCCACGGACATGGGAGTAATGAACTAGTTCACATTTCTCGAGTAATCGTTGATCAGAAAGATTTCCATCTGGTTGCTGCAGAGCGAACCAAAGATGCTGATCAGGTAAATCTTCTTTTCTTCTGAGTTCAATATACACTAAGCATTTTTTAGTTAAGAATGAATACTTGAGCACTTCTTTCTATACTTGCCTTTGTTGATATTGTTTCTCTGGTAAAACATCTACATATTCTAGCAAAAAGAGCCATTAGAAATTCTGATGTATCATGGAAGACTTCTGCATAAGAAATCAAAAGTCCCACACAACAACATTATTTTGATTTGTCATCATCTTTCAAAGTGATTTCGCTTTCTTCTGATACTTCAATGCAGGGAATATATGAAGACAGTTGAAAAGGATAGAATATCTGGACACTGAAGTGTTTTAACCCTTTTAATTTGGCATCTAGCTGTAAGTCTTCCTTCCGAGAGCCAACCAAAATTATTACCATGCTTGTTGTGCTAGCACCTGTCTGCTCTCAAAAACTAGTATAGTCGGCATTCTTCTGGTGCTTCAATGTGCCAGTTATCTAAATAAATGCCCAATGATGATACAGCATTTTAGTAAGAACAAGTTGACAATGTCTTAGAGTTGTTATTTCTGTAATACTGTTGTCCTTGGCAAGGTCAGAAATAAGATAACCTTATGGCATTTGGTGTTGGAAAGGTCACAGCAGTCGCCCTTGTTTCACTTGTTGAATGTCACTGGATTTAGTTGATTTCTTGTCATTGAACATTATGTTTCTTGTGGCTTAAAGTTAACTCATTCAGATTTCACCATCACTCATATTTGAGCTAATTTCAAGAAAATTTTGTTCTTGTATCACTTGAATGCCTCTAATTTCGGTCGATTCCATGTCATCAAACATAATGTTAACCATGGAAATAAATCAACTCATTCAACTTTTGACATTGCTCGTATATGAACTCTATGCATCACTGCCTTGCAACCATTTTTCTCTTCTTTTAAATAGATTTATTTTCGTTGATTGAAATTGTTTTGATTCTCTCCCTATAATTTACTCAAATTTGTTACAGAGCATCAGTTCCTTGTGTTCCCCCTAAGTTCATAGATCAATTGGAAAAGGAACATTCACAAGCCATCAAATTGTCATATATAGCATTAAGATAATATAATCTGTTAAGTGGCATAATGATAGAGGATAGAATGCGAATGATTGGATATATTGATTGCAAGGCTTTACCGCAACTGGATGCTTACCATGAGGACTCTGCATTTAGAAGCCCTAATGAAGCGACCGGGGAAATCTGATGATGCTTTAGGTTCATCTCAAGATCTGACTAATAGTAGCTGAAACCCAGCCTAGTCCCAAACCTTTCAAGCTTGCTCCCTACAAACAAATACGGATCAATCCCACCAAAATATGACACGAAATCCTATCTGAAAACGAACTAATCAAACTTACAGGATCACCGGATAAGAAGACCACATCACACGAGATCTCGACGATGGCGCTCGCCGATTCTGCCAAGGATCTTGAGGAGAAGGCACCGAGACGAAGGACGAGCGACACTTTCTGGCTTCGATGGAAAGCTTTGCCTCCCCGCCATTTAAATCCGCGAGAAGTCGCCACACTCGCCGGTGGACTCACCGAGTACCGGTTAGATGACCAAGCTTCTGTGGCCGTATGGAAGAATCTAGATTTGTATCACGGGCTGTGACGGCCGCGTTTCCTACTTTCTCGGAATTAGTCTCACCTGTGGTGAGCAGAATTTAGGGAAGGCTTTCGAAGCCATTCTTTCTTAGTTGGTACCCGTTTATGGTGTACCCATCCCCATACCTTTCTTGTGATTGGATAAGCTAAGGGCTGTAAGGAATTAATAGCCTCCTCCGACCCCTTCGGAATAGAGGGAGACTCTTATGAGAAGTCGCAGAATCATTTGAGATCTACTCATCGAAACACATCAACTACACAGAGCTAATATTAGCAGTCTGAGGAACAAGGAGAACAAATATACATATGCAATGTGGCCCAAAGCCGTCCGATGGTCATCGGACGTCATTTAAAACAGCCACGGTAATAGATGTTTAGATAACGCCCCACGAGTCGAGCGTGGGATAGTTCGACACCACAAAGAACGGGTCGAACTCAGGAAGAACCGGGACATCCATCGCCGGCCCGAACGAAGCGGCTACATCCGGCCCGGCTAAATCGGCCCGGTCGCGCAGGAACGACGACGTGTCGAGCGTCGGAAGAAGACGGCTCCCCTGCACGGCCGCCGCCGGATACTGGTGCTCCCCGGCCGAGTCGCCAGCCCGAGTTCCGGTGGCCCGCTGGACCAGCTCGCGGAAGTTGGTCGGGTCGGCGGCGATGTAGGTGGTGAGCGAGCGCTTCGACGCCCGCGACCTGCGCTTCTTCGCCACCCTCCCGGCACGCGGGTCCAGGCGGTGACACTGACTGACGGCGGTGGGGAGACAAACGAGGGAAGAGGTGGCGGTGGAGAAGGACTCAGGGGAGGGGATGGCGGCGGCGGCGGCGGCGGAGGAGGAATCTGCGAGCAGAGATATCTGGAGGGCTTTGGTGAGTGCGTCGTTCTCGCGTTCGATGGCGGCCTCGGAGATGCAGGAGTAGGAGCGGTACATCCACGTATCGAGAACCGAGCAATTCTCCGCCATAGTCGCAGTACCAATCAGCTACTATTCCTTCTCCTCTCTTCTTCTTCTTCTCGGTTGGACGAGCAGAAACAACGAAGCCAATCACAGGGTGTGAGAAGAACAAGATGAGAGGGAGCGAGTTATAAAGAGGATGGCGGAGCAACTCGGAGGGTATTTTTAATGAGGCGGCGGTGGTGGTGGGGCGAGAGGCGGGCAAACCGCGTCGATCGGGCCACGTGTATCCACGGGCTCCGTACTCGGGCGACCGCGGCTTCGTGTTGGGTGTACACACTGGGCAGCACAGTCCAGTGTGCTGCTTTACGGAGCACGGTTCTCCAAGCACTGTCCTAGTCACTCGGATCAAAACCGCCGCGTTGTTCCGAACCGCTTTCCCACGGAGGGTGCTTCCCTCCGCACCTGAACTCCGGTGCCCACCGAAGATACCACGCCGGTCACACCTTTGGGCCCACCAGGTCTGCGAGGGACCTGACTCCCGCATGAGGGACTTCAGTGGGTCCCGCGTTCGGTACGAAACGTCAAGCGTGGTCTCTTCTTAATTCCATCCTTCACGCGCTTGATGTCGTGTTGCGGGGCCCATCACGGCTCAGCAATAGGAGGCTTTCGTTTACCATCCTCACATCTTTTCTGCTACACGTTTTGAAGCCACGTCGCTGTGGGGGGCCATCGTCGTCAGATTCCAACTTAATTACCATCATGCCACTCAGGATTCTGAGCGATCTCGTCCCCTGCCAACCTGACGTAACCTTACGTAAATATATACGTGGCACGACGGAACGCGGAGGACGGATGGCGGCTGTGCCCGCAGGAACAGCTCCTGTGAGACCAGCTCGTTGGTTTACTAGATAAATCTCCACCGTTGATCAGGAAGATCTGGAGGGTGAAGGCCAGCTACCGACGGCCAAGATCGTTTTCTCCAGTAAACAGGACTCTCGGTTCTCTTGGATCCAGGCAATGAAACAAACTCACCACCTACCGTTGACTTCATTTTGTTGGCACCATTCTCAAGTCCATCTCCGAAGAGGTTAAAAAGGTTGTGGTTTTCCATATCACCAGCCACCTTATTATACGTGTCACAAGTCAAACGCTGTGCAAATATATTATGATCGGTATTGGGAAACTCATTGTTCCTCCACAAAGAGCTCTGACAACGGTTGGAGTCTTCCGGTTTGACTCGATATCACCTCTTCGACCCCGTTCTTTGATCCCCAGAATGGTCATTTGGGATGTGTTGACTCAGGGAACTTGCCAAGTGACTACAGGGGAATCCACGATGTGCCATGCAGAAGCTCCAAGTCAATGCAGTCTCTTCTTCGGCGGTTTGTACCCTTTACAGCTCAAGCCAGTGTTCTTTTTGACTTTGGGGTCGTCAGAGCGACAGTGTTGTCCATTTGTTTGACTTTTATCGGCCTTGGGAATACCACCGATTGTGGCTTGGGCCGCTAGACCGGGTTTCTTTTGTAACGGGCCTAGCTTTGCCCCAGGCTTGATTCCGGTTCGCATCGATAAGGCATCCCAGACCGGGCCCGGCCCAACATGAGACAATTGTACACGTGTCGAGGATACGGCGTCCGCGATACGGTATCCTTACAAGGTATCGTATGAGTATCCGAGCGGCATCCCTATACGGTATCCTAGACCACCCGAGATAACGGCCCGTCAGATCCCGCAACGACGCCGTTAACACAGCAGAGAAGAACCGTTATATATGGAGCCGAGAGATCGATGGACGGGCGTTTCTTACCCGAATACCAATCGCGGCTTTCAGTTGTCTCCCTGGCTGGAAGAGGCCTGATCTCTCACTCGATCGCCTGCCCTAGTCTCCGAAATCTGTGAAGAGATTTAAGGGGTAGATCGGGTTTGCTTTTACTGAATCCACGGCGGAGTTGGGGGGGAGGGGTGGGAAGTGGCCTCCGGTAGGTGCGGGAGCAGTTTCACAGCGAAAGACCACGTCTTGATTGCAGTTGAGGGCTTTCCGGCCTGCAGAAACGCGCGATTTTTCGGGTAATTTTTTCGTCCGATATGCTAAAAGTTCTCTGCTTCGAAGTATCCGTGTCATTGGATTTACAGTCGATCGCGAAAGTTTGGTTCTTTACACTGTTTATCTTTTTTTCGTGGAGTTTACTGGTAGTTTTCTAATCTTTAGATCGAGTTATAATATTTTCTTGTTGTCCTTCTACTTGGAAAGGACAACTTTGTGTGATCGATGAGCATTTTCTTGTTTCTTGATTCTTTCCAGATCCTTGATGAGTTTGGAGGTTTTTCTGCAACTCGACGAATCCATGAGCATCACCGAGGCCTGGTAAAAATCTAATCTGTCGTGTGCAATCGGAATTTTCTGATAGGCATCGGAAGCAGAAGGGATTGAGATCCGACCCTGGAGAAGATGAAATCCAGATCCCAAATCCGCGCTGGCCGATCTCGGTTTCCCGACCAATTCGATCGAATCCCCGACCCCCTGATCCTCGTCATCTTCAACAAGCTCGCCGACGCCCGGTCCCTCGGCCGCTGCGCCGCGGTGTCGAGGCGTTTCCGCTCTCTTGTCCCCCTGGTTGATGATGTCTACGTCAAGATCGACCGTGTCGTCACCGTCGATGGCGATTCCTGTAGATCCTTAACCCTCTCTTTCCCCAGACCAAGGAAGTGCTTCTCCCACTTCCTCAAGCTCATGCTCTTCGCCATCCTGAGACCCATCCGCAACCTCCACAACCCCCATTGCGGTGGCAAACGCTTCCTGCCACAAGTATCCCACCGCTCCCCTGCACAAGTCCTCAAGAACTTCCGACACGTTCGTCGCCTGCGGATCGAACTCCCCGCCGGCGATGTCAGAACGGAGGACGGGGTCCTTCTGAGGTGGAGGGCGGAGTTCGGGAGCACCCTCGAGAGCTGTGTCATTCTGGGAGGAACACCGACGGATCGCCTGCCACCTTCATCGGGCCGAGCAGGGAAGGCAGAGGACGACGGGAGCATGCCCGAGTCGTTCTACACGAACGGAGGCCTCAAGCTGCGTGTAGTTTGGGCAATCGGCACGCTGATTGCCGCTTCCACGCGCCATTACCTTCTCCAGGAGATCATCGAGGATCACCCAACACTGGAGAGCTTGGTCCTGACCGATGCCGATGAACAGGGAACTCTGAGCATGGGTATAGAGCAGCTGAAGGAGTTCAGAGAGAAGCCATTGGTGGCCTCGGCGTCATCAACTAGGACTCATCTTCCCGCATCAAACATGAAGCTAAGATATGCGCCGTACTTGGAGCTCCCCGAGGGGATGGCGATGCAGGGCGCTACACTGGTGGCCATCAGCCCAGCCACAGATGACACAGATGGTAATAGTGGCAGGGAAGAGTGTGATTCGTTCATCCGTGGGGCGTTCGAAGGGCCACTGGATGCTGCAGTGAAGTCATTGGTTGAGCGACGCATCTACCTAATGGAGATAAATGGTTTCTGAGCCAATTCCACCGTGCCGCATCAGCTCTATTGCAGGTTTGCCATGGTTCATTTCTAGTCTTTTACAGAGCAGAATTCAACACATATATCTGCAGTGTTACAGATCATTAGTAGTAAATTGTCAGCCATGATCTTTTCTTTCTTCTTATGAGTATATGTACAGTAATAATCATTAATGCAATGCAGGAATCAACCCATTAGCTGTGAGTGCTGACATCTCTATTGCCTATGTTATCACTGTTTCTTACTGAAAGGAAGTTGCTGTAGTTGTTTGGTATGTGGAACCTTGTTCTCTTTGTTTCATTGTGGCAAACACTTCTTAGGACACCCACAGGCCAATAAGGTCTTCTTCTTTCTTGTCTCTCTTTTGAGTTCCGTGATCATTGGACATGAAAATTTTCTCGACAATTCGGGATTCTCTTGATCTTTTCTCGTTCATGCGAGGTCATTTCGACTCTGTTTTTTTTTTTTTTTTTTGATCCTTGATCCAACTCTGGCATGAAATTGCTTAGTCATCTCTTTCTGACCAACTAGTAGATTGCAGTTGAAATGTCTCCTTGAAGTTTTGGCCTGTCTCTCCCACCTCACATTGAGAACTACTAATCTTCCACATAAAATCTTTTAACTATATTGGTTTGTTGGTGACCAAAATTAGTAGATGGAACAAAAACTTGATTCATTCTTTAGCTTAGCTTCTTCCACATGGTTTCCCAGCACTTGCAGTGAGCCATGTCATCTGCACGAGTACTCGGTCAATGGAATAGTTATGTAGAATTTGGTGCAATGACCCAATCACATATTATATGCATTGACTCCTTGATGGTCTTTGGATTCATTAGGACAGCTGCAATATCTTATTGTTAATACATTAACATCAGATGATGTATCTTCATTAGGACAGCTACAACATCTTATTGTTAATACATTAACATCAGATGATGTATCATATGACTGTTGACAGTGCAACAAAAGTGATGCTAAATAGATATAGTTTATATATTATTTTATTTTTAGAACACTGATGTAAATTACCTATATTTATAGTCAAGGATTGAAATATCGTACCATACCTTCGCTCGGTATGATACGATATGATATTGTATACCAAACGGTATAATCCCTTTATATCGGTATGGTATGATACTGTATACTGTGGACTGATGACACCGTATAAATCTGCTGATTTCTATGGCGAGAGTGACTCAGATTGTGAAACTTGTGGCCAGAAAACAGTCTTTCGTCAACTTCTTTTAGCCTCTTCCGCATGGCAAATTTGACCCGTTGGTGGAAGCAGACATGAACGTAGACTTGGGAGAAAGCATAAAAACAATTAATCATAAGAAGAAGAGAACTCTATAATGAGGTCAACCTCAATTAGATTTGTAGCTTCAACTGGATCATATCTTTTATTATTGGTAATTAGAGCATGCAAAAAAGCCTCATTATGGTTTAATTCAGTGATGTGTCCAAGTTAAGCTTCATGACCTCTTGAGGAAATCAAAACTTTATGATGCTTGGAAGTAGTTGAGCAGGTGCATGAGAGCAGCAGCTTAACATGAACAAAGACCACCTTATTATTTTAAG